TACTTTATATTAAAAAATCTATAATTTTGGTTAAGATTATACATTGATTTGGGAAGACTAGACACCTTTACAATATTGAGACCTCCAATTCATGAACATGTAGTATCTCCTTTATTATTTGCTCCTTAAGTTCTCTTAATAATATTTATAATTATTTTAGTGTAGATGCTTTGCATGTTTTTGTTACATTTATTATATTGGTGCTGATTTTAAGACTATTTTTAAGTTTCACTTTCTAATTGTTGAGCCAAACCATGTAAAAAAAATGGCAAGACAAGTGATGAAAGTAACATCACCAATAATGGGACAAACTGACATTAGGTGCTTCTGGTGATATTCTGAATAGGACACACCATCAGTTATATTTTATACATGACAAAAAGCCACAATCTGAATTAAGTTATGATGATTTGCCAAACAAATTCAAACTGAACATTCTATAAAACAGCAAGCCCTTATGCTTAAAGAATGTCAATGACAGAAAAGACAAGAAAAGCTGAGGAAGTCACTCACTCATCCATTTAAGGGGGACTAAAGAGACATGACAACAAACTGCAATGTATGATATTGGTTTAAATCCTGAATTGTTAAAAACAAATTAGCTAAAAAGCAATACAGGGACAATTGTCAAAATTTGAAGGATATACTAAATGACAGTATTGTATCAATGTAAAATTTCCTGATAATTTGATAATTAAGCTGTAGTTACATAAAGGAATTTTCTCATTATTAGTAGAAAAAAATATTGAAATATTTAAGGATGAAAGGTTCATGATCTGTGCAAGTGATTTTCTTTTCTTTTTTTAAGTTTATTTTTTTATTTTGAAAGACAGCACGAGTCGAGAGGGGCAGAGAGAGATAGGAACGGAGAGAATCCAAAGCAGGATCCACATTGACAGCACAGAGCCCAATGTGGGGCTCAAACTCACAAACCATGAGATCATGACCTGAGCCGAAACCAAGAATCAGACATTTAACTGACTGAGCCACCCAGGTGGCTCTGTGCAAGCAATTTTCAAGTGGCTCAGCAAAATAAGTAAACAGACATAAAAGAGCAATGTGTATATGTCATACAGAAAATGTAGAGAGAGATAAAGCCAAATTGTAAAAAACAGCTGAATCTGTATATTACAGTAATATGACAGTTCACTGTAATATTTTTGCAACTCCTGTGTAGGGCTGATTATTTTTGAAAACAAAAATTTTAATTAAAGTGATCATAGCAGAATCAGACATATGGACCTTTACCCATAATTTTATTTATTTGTTTTTTTTTTTTTCACGTTTATTTATTTTTCAGAGAGAGAAAGAGCGTGAGGCGGGGAGGGGCAGACACAGAACCCAAAGCAGTCCAGGCCCTAAGCTGCCTGCACAGAGCCCTACGCAGGGCTTGAGCCCACAAGCCATGAGATCATAACCTGAGCCGAAATCGGATGCTTAACCAACAGAGCCACGCAGGCACCCCTCAAAATTTTAAAAGGATAATGTTGATCTGGGTACCATTTGAAAGATAGTAACACATCTTGCTTTCCAGTTGCCAAAGCTTTTGCCATGTTCAGCTCATTACACTTTGTTTGGACGCAGGACACTGTTTCCTTGGAACAAAGAGCTGAGAAAGAATGCAGGCTAAGGAACAAGAAGAAATCGCTCCTAAACCAAAACTAGATGCTGCTTTTTCCTGTGACAACCTTTTCATTAAGGCTAAATTGAAAGTAGTGCTGATTTGAAAGCCTGTGTGTATTTTTTCCATCATAGTTCATTAAGAGGGGGAGACATTTCAGCCAAAAATATGATCACCCACCAAAATGCAACTTCCATTACCACATATAAATTCTTCAATTTATTTATTTAGGTGTTTCTTTATTCCATAAACTTTTATTTAGGAAATATAAAGCGAATGAGACTCCACAGATGGACAGGAAAACAGAGCAGTGTGGAGGGTGTAATTCCCCATATCCCATTTATTCTGCCCACACTCTTCTGGTAATGTTTCATCACGGGCAATGACCTCAACAACCAACAGCATTTTTTTTTTTTTAAAAGGCTGTTAGTAGAATCTGGGAGGAAAGAAGGGCTTTTTCTCATTATTGTTATTTATAGCTATTTTTTGCGGTTGTCTTCCCTTTTTGGATTGTAGCACTGTAAAAGCTAAATTTGTTTACAAACCCAATATTCCCATTCAAAGATGACTTCTTTCATGTTTGAGTATCTGGAAAAATACAAACAATATGAGAATCCCAGTAGTATTACTTTCGCTTAACTTTCCTCTGCATAACAATGTCTTACGCCTTAATTTTGATTTTTTGATAATTACATCTTTCTCTTTAAATCTGGAAATACCAATTTCCACTTAAACTCATGAGAACCAATAAGTGTAGTGTGTACTGCCAAGTCTGAATGATTTAATTATTTTTAAATTGTTTTTATTAGAATGTTAATAACTTTCTGCTTTAATGCTATCTGTCCCAACTTCTCTGGGGTTGTTCCTCCCACTTAATAGATATCTTTTAGACAACAAATCGTAGACACAAAGGAAAGCTAATTTTATCACAGGATTACAAATAGACCAACACAAATGACTAAGGCCTGACAGAGAAGCTGGAAAAAAGATGGTTGGTCACACACCCTGTGCACACCCATGCTGTAACAGATTCCAAGATAAAGATCCTTTTTAGGACTTCTGAGAGTCAGAGGTATTTTATAAAGGACTGTTGGCATTCAACAACGAGCTCAGTCTCTTCGCTTTTAGTCCATTCTGCTCTCATGACTCACTGTGGTTCATAAAGTGGCTGATGTTAAGTCCTTTACTAAGAACCTTCAACATGGTATTTATAGAAAGATTCATTTGTAGTCTTACTTCAAAGAGGTCAGCAGGTGCAATATACGCTTTGGAGGAATTCTGACTCATTTCTCCAGATTGCAAGATACTGTCTTTGTCTACACGGTAAGCATTTTAGGCATCACAAGAATGAGTAGCTACACTTTTAAACTCACTACTTTCAAAAATCTACAAAATGTTCATGAAAAGTCTGTACTATAGAATGGTATACATTTTGAAAACCTGATACACAGTGCCAGATACAGGTTGTATTTAGAGTGTTTATATGTCCAGTTTGTCTGGACAGTTCTGGATTTTTCCTATTTTCTTGGTATAATTATCAATAACCTCCCCTTTTACTTTAAAAAGAATCCTACTTTGGATGATAGATTATATGATCACCTTAGCTATATTTAGGTATTTATATCCATATATTTTCTTCCAATCAATTGGTTTCTATTAATTTCACATCTTGGTTCTAAATAAGATTATTTCTAACTTCCCACAAAATCCTAGGGGGGAGGAAGGGTGGAGTGAACTTACACCTCATTGTGACTTGAACTTTTGCTCTCAAAACACACAGGTTTCTGGAATGCCATTACTAGAATTGGTTGCAATGTAGCTGAAAGACAGATGTGCACAGAGCCCAAGCTGCCCAGACTGCTGACATTTTCAGGGCAACCACACCTAAAACAAGTTTCAGCATTTCAAAATAGGTCTAAGAATAAATTATAGGTCTAAGAATAAATTATACAGGATTTGACTGAGGCCATATTCTCCAAGATAAAAATCTCTGGGATTTCACATGTAAAATGTTTACGAAACACTGCTGATTTCTTCCTTTACCTACTGACATCAAAATTTGGTTCACATTTTTTATTCAGTCACATATGCAGCTCTGAATTTCTTTTTGCGCACAACACTCAGTGAGCATATTGACTTAATATGCATTTTAACCCAATTCTTTTTCACACATTTTTTTTCCTGTTCATATTATTTTATTTGTTAACACTTACATTACACTTACTAGGTACTGGGAGCTGTTTTAAGTGCTTTTACATATATAAACACATTTAGTCCTTGCAAAACCTAGAAGATAGGTTCTAGTATTACCATAGTCCCCATTCACTGATGATGCATCTGAGGACATGGTAGTTAGGTAACTTGCAGCTCACACAATAAATATGTTCAATATTTAGACCCAGGCACCCTGACTCTAGAGTCCGTGACCTTAGCTACCATGCTATGCTCCCTCTGTATCATCCTTTTCCAATAAGCAAGAGATGACTTCCACTTTATTGAAGCAGTAACTGACAGATCAGATGGTTAAGAGAGTTTACCTCATGTTTATGTTAATTCATATATTTAAAGAGATTATTTATTGAGTAGCTACTTTTTGCAAGGCACTGAATTAGGCGGTGGGGAAAGAGGTGAATTCGTTTCTAAAACACCAGCGGCAGGCATCTAACTGCATTTAAGAAAAGAAAATCCGAAGCTTCCAGATGTAAAACGTTTGCACGCCTGAAATCAAGAAACAATTGACGCTTTTCTGTCAAGAAGGGACGTGAGTCTACAGATGTGTACACTGTGTGTGTCAGGGCCAACACACGGACAGGAGGCATGCTCAGTGGTGTTCTGGAGTTGAGTCCATAGGCTCTGAAGGAAGACAACGTGTACTTCAAGTGCGGCTATGTTACACGCTACTTGAGTCGTTTTGGGAAGTTTATTGGCTTCATCTTTCCAATCTGTAAAATGGGAACACCTACCTCATAGGAAGTTATGAGGATTAGAAAAAAAAATGAGATTTTAGAAGAGTACTAGCACATTGTATGTGCTCAATAAATGATGGTTAATATTATTTAAAATGCTGAAACCACACTTTATTATTTAATCCAGATCAATTATAAAATAAGATATAAGTTGCCACAGATAATTCAACCAGCCCCGTCTTAACTCACTTGCAAGATACCACTATGCACGGATGTAAACAGACTAAAATCAACAAAAAGAACACCAACCCAGGATCTTATTTTCTCTTAAGTTATGCTTAAATTAGTTGTAGTGATGGGGAAGGGGTGATTTATTTCAATTCTGGAACAGAGGGACTAGTAGCAAGGAGGTCCTGCCTGATTATATTATAATGTCGTTACTTAAAACATTTTTTCTCTCTTTTTTTTTTTAGTCTATGTTTCTTGGATTCTTTAACATAAGTTAGCACATATGACTTCTGCTGGAATGAAAATGACATGCCTGGAATTTCTTTTGTTTGCCTCTTCCAGGTAAACCAACATGCAGCTAAAGTAGTTAAGAGGTAAAAGTTTCATCTTCATTCTTTATATTTTAATTTTTAAATTCTATAACCTCAGATATTCTAACTAAAATCTCTAAGCCTTCTCTTCTGGAAAAGAAATGTTTTTAAATGTTACTAGCAATTTATCAAATGACGTATGAGAAATATTTATGAAAATATGCTTGCCTATTCTTTTACACTTGAGATTAGTTTTCTGAGGCTGAGCTGTAGCTCAACCAAATATTTATCTTTATTTTCTATGATTGAAGACAAATCAAGAATGACATTACGAAACTTAGAGTAAAGATTTAGAAAACATAATCAGTATCCATTACATTTTCAAAAAAAATTTAGATTAATAACAAAAAGTACTAACAGAACTTTCTATATGAAATATTCTCTGGAAGGAAATTCATTGCTGAAGTTATCGGCATCCTCAAAGGAGAGAATAATTAAAACAAAATGTTGTGCAAGTCACACTATACTCACATTGCTGTGAATACATTTAAAATAATGAATGTTGGTGGGTATGAAATTTCAGTAGGGCTCACTACTGCTTCTGCTCACTCTAGAAACATGAACTGCAAAGAAACAAGTCCTGCCATTTTAGAGGGAGAACTGAATAGAAGCCAGCTAACAGGACAGTTGAGGCTGTGCATCATTAGTGGCATTTTTGTGTAGTCCTTCACTCAGGGAGCAAATTCAGAGAGGAGCAATCTGGGAATCCATAAATCCTACTGAGCCTTGGTTAAGTGACATTCATTATAAAGAACACCTGGAGGGAAGACCCGAGAATTGAGTCACAGCTAGAAAGATCAGATTACCTGAGCTCTGCATGTCTCGGTTAAGTAAGGCAGCCTAGGAAGAGAACGATCTTTCTCTGCAGTCATTTCGGTAGTGTTATACTGGAGAAAGTTACAGGCTTGTCTAATACTATGTGGAGTTTCTTTCGCTTGCATATTTCCCACATATTATTGTGTGTTTTGAACATTTGATGTCATTTATAGTTTACAAGTACATTTTGTATCTGTTACATGGTATTTCAGCTGAATGTTTATTATGAGTTTTACTACCTTTCATGTCTATCACTTCGAATCTAAGCAAAACTATAAATATTTAAATATATATATATATATATATATATATATATATATATATATAGTATATATTCAGATGCAAACTACCAAATAAAAACTCTTTCCACTAAACAAGATTTTAATCATAGAGAGATAATACAAAATACTGAAAATAACTTCAAATCCAACTTATTCCAAAAAGAAAGGAGAAAATGCTCACAGAATCCTGCTAAGTAGCCAATAATTACTACTAGTTTCTGAATCTGAGGCTTGGAAAACTGTCAGCAAGTTACTGAAATGAAAATGTGAATGTGAAGAGCAGTTTTTGGAAAAGTGACCCTGGTGTGGGATGAGGCGTCCAGTATGCACAATCAGCTACTGGGAGACTTCCATAGCTCCCTAGGTTTGGCAATACTGAGCACTAGTTTCTTTAAATAAGAAAATAAATGGCCTCAATGGTTTCTACATGTGTTTTTCAATAAGGATTGCAGGTTAAATTCAGTGATGGAACAGTAAGATTCTATTTTTATTGGGTCAAAATTTTTTGAAAGAACTCCCAGCTTTACATGGTAAGTGTGCACAAGAGGTACAGAAGGTTGTTTTTTTTTTTTTTAATGTTTATTTTTGAGAGAGAGAGGGAAGGAGAGAATGAGCAGGGGAGGGGCAGAGAGAGAAGGTGACAGAATCCAAAGCAGGCTCCAGGCTCCGAGTTATCAGCACAAATCCCGACGCGGGGCTCAAACTCACAAACCACGAGATTATGACCTGAGCTGATGTCCGACGTTCAACCAACTGAGCCATCCAGGTGCCCCAAGGTACCAAACATTTTTAAGATACACATGTTGTTTTACGCAACAAGTATACCTCTAGGAATGAGCATTAAGGAAAAAAGATAGCACAAGTGTGCAGGAGAGACAGACTCTTTGTATGTGTTTACAATTGTGAAAAGTTGATAATAACGTATCGGTAATATTTTATTCCCTTTAGTGTAATACTGTGTGAATATTAAAATAATTTATGTACTGTCCATGTGTTAAATGTTATATATTCATTAATTTCTCAGTGAGGAAAACAGGCTACAGCTTGGTATACACAGTGCTATCCTGTGTGTGTGCATGTGTGTGTGTGCACGCGTGCACGTGTGCTCATGTGCACATATGTGTGTGTAGAAACACACACACAGGACAAGGTTGCCTGAGGGATTTATTCTTTAGGTTCAAGATTATTAGGTGTTTTTTTTTTCTATTTGTTCTCTGTATTTTCTAATTTTTTGACAAGGGAGTTAAATCACTGTAAGAGAGAGTGGAGATATGAAGTCCTTGTTGAGGTGGTGAAATCCTGTATCAGGATGTGACTGATGAAGTGTCTGCTGATACCAAACAGGCCTTGCGATCTCAACTTACGACTCTGGGTTTGGGGAAAAGAATGAAATGCATTGGGAAGCCAATGTAAGTCTGAGGCTGTTCTTGGTATTTACAGAAAGACTACAGAAAAAGACATCAGAATAATGGCAAGGATTTGTAAGTGTTTTATTATAAGTATTCAACTAAGGAAATTCAGGGAGGGCTGGGATTGCTTAAAATGTGCATATATTATTATAAGAACATGTAGACATGTTCTTTCCTTCATTGATGTGAAGATGTCCCATCAGAATCTGCTCCGTAGGCATTAAACATCAATCTAGACTGTCCTGACCCTTTACCCCTCTCCTTCTAGACCAACTGAAGAAGGGTGATTAGTTATGTCTTTTCAGGAAGAGAAACAGGTCAAGTATTAGAATAAATTGCTTCATGATGCAGAAACCATATGGCAGCCAAGTTACTAAGTTAATTATTAAACAATGCGGGTTTTCAATTTTTACAATTCTCATACCAAGCAAAATGACTGGCACAGAATGTTGAATGAAGGAGACTGCTGTAAAACGTGCCACCTAGCATTTTCATTGGCAAACAGTGTATCCCCGGGTTCTTTCAAATTTATTTTTTTCTCTCCCTCCATTGCCTCTTTTTTACATAAGAGCCTTAACAAATCTCTTCAACACTGAGTGAAAGAGACAGACATAGAAACAAATTATTACAAGATAATTTCATAAGTGTTCTAACAGAGATAAGAAAAAAGTGTTAGAATATGTGGACAAGGTTGCCTGAGGGATTTAGAGAAAACCATGCACAGGAGAGGGTGGTGGCCTCTGGGCGGAAGGAGCTCAGAAGCACAAGATAATTGGATGTGTAGCAGGAACTGAGACTGACATTTGGAACCAGGATGAAGAAAACTGGAGGTATTTTAAATCAGCCGGAGACTCCCCACCCCAGAAAGTTTATGATTGCCCTTTTATTTTCTATTAAAAATTTTTTAATGTTTATTTATTGTTGTGAAAGAGTCAGAGACAGAGACTTAGCACAAGTGGGAGATGAGGAAGGCAGAGAGAGAGGGAGACACATAACCCGAAGCAGGCTCCAGGCTCTGAGCTGTGAGCACAGAGCTGGACACAGGGTTAGAACCCAGGAAGCACGAGATCATGACCTGAGCTGAAGTTGGAGGCTTAACTGACTGAGTCACCCAGGCGCCCCTCGGATTTCCCTTTTAAATACCAGTGGTGGATCTTGTCAAATCGCATAATTTTCCCAGGAAACAAAACTCTTTTGTGGGAAGAAGAGGGTGAGAGCACAACGGAGCTCCTGCAATTGAATCACGATACCATAAGAATTTTCTTCCACACTTAGATAAGGACTAGACAAATAGTAGTTGAGGAACCTTTAACTAAAATGTCCCCCAAATCTACCTTGACTATATAATTTATAGTCTCAAACAGGAACATTTTGAAAAGGAAAAAAGGATGCCATTAATAATTATGCAAAGATTTTGGCATACACTGGCTATCCTCATTCTACTGAAATTGAGCATCCTACCACATAGAGATCCATTTTGAATGACATAGTTCTGTTTAAAATACAAAATACCTAGGATAAAGCTTGCTTCATTCACCTTCTGGTTCAAATTAATTGAAGCAGATTCACACCTCAGGTAATCGATAAAAGACTATAATTAAGAACTACAATTAGGACATCTAATTACGAAATCGGGTGAGGTTTGAACAGTGTGTCATTTGGAGGCAATAAAGTTTGCAAGCACAGACAAATTTAGATTTTAAACTCATCTCCACTTTCCTCTGTGATCATCAGTACTTTACTTAACTTCTCTGAATGTCAACTTAACCTGTAAAAAGTGATAATATCTACTCCCAAAGCTATCATGAAACTCAGATAATGTAATGTATATAAAGAGCCAGTCACAAGATTGGAACTCAATTAACATTAGTCCTTTGGGAGAAGAGTAATAACGTGGAGGGCTATGGTCTATAAACTGCAACCACAAAACTTAAAACCGGGAGAGCATATCCATGTGTATACAGGACCTAAATGAATATACAGTTCAAGAGTATCTGATTAACACTATTAAAGAAAATGGATGGTGTAATAAGAATTTGGTAGTAAAATTGGAAGAAATTTTTCACTAATTTAGCTAAGAGAAGTAATGGGAACCTGATGAAAAATTATTCATACAACATATGATGTCACGTAGCTCTAACACTTATTTTATTGAATTGATGTAATCTTAGTATATGAAAAAACCCAAGGATTGTGATTTCAATATGTGATCTTTTCTAACACAGATGGATTTTTATTTTTTCTTTTAAAATTTTTTAATGTTTATTTATTTTTGAGAGACAGAAACAGAGTGTGAGCGAAGGAGGGGCAGAGAGAGAGAAAGAGAGAAAGACACAGAATCCAAAGAGGCTCCAGGCTCTGAGCTGTCAGCACAGAGCCCGATGCGGGGCTCGAACTCACAAGCCGTGAGATCATGACCTGAGCTGAAGTCAGACGCTTAGCTGCCTGAGCCACCCAGGTGCCCCTATTTTTTAAAATAAAAATACCCTAGTTTGTCCTCATTCTTTTTTAAGTTTATTTATTTATTTTAGAGAGAGAGAGAGAGAGAGAGAGAGAGAGAGAGAGAGAGAGAGCATGAGCAGGGGAGGGGCATAGAGAATGGGAGAGAGAGAATAATCTCAAGCTGGCTCCACACTGTCAGCATGGAGCCCAATGCAGGGCTCGAGCTCACAAACCATTAGATCATGACCTGAGCCAAAACCAAGAGTCGGATGCTTAACTGACTGAGTCACTCATGCTGTTTGTCCTAGATCTTATTCTTTACTTGATCTTTGAGAAATTGATTATGAAACCACCACGATTTTTATACTTTTTGTCATCACTCTAATCATCCTGGGTCATTAGTACAGACTTCACTGAATATAATTAAGAAGGGTGTTTTGAACACAGAAGTCAAACGTCAGTATCAGAAGCAACAACCATTCTAAGTTACCTCCAACCCAGGCAGTTATTACATGTTTCTCAAAACCAATTAATTATTCCAAACATGAAAGAATCCATGTCTTAGGAAAACAAAATCGGACAAACAGAAATACTCCCAAATGGAGCTGTCTGGGTGGCTCAGTCAGTTAAGTGTCTGGCTCTTGGTTTCGGCTCAGGTCATGATCTCACAGTTCATGAGTTCAAGCCCTTTGAAGGGTTCTCCACTGGCAGAGTGTAGCCTTCTTGGGATTCTCTCTCTCTCTCTCTCTCTCTCTCTCTCTCTCTCTGTCCTTCCCCCACTCACACTCTCTTTTTCCCTCAAAATAAATAAACATTAAAAAAAAATTCATTATTTCAAAAAAGAAAACACTCCCAATGATTGTCAAGAAAGAAACAAAAACGAAACAGAACAGAAAGAAAAAAAACCCAAATAAAAGCAGCAATGGTGAGAGTCCACCTGCTGTCACAATGGCGTCTGACTGGCCACCCAGAGAAAAAAGCAGGTAAGCAAGAGCAGCAGTGTGGCTGTAGCAGCCTCGCCAGACCCTGCATGCACAGTCTAGTTTAGATGAGTTTGCAAACAGGAGCCAACTAAGGGCAAAATGTACCCGCAGCTCTCTCTCACTCTTCTCCAGTTCTCACCCACCAAGCACCAGCCGGGCTATCTTATCCATTTTTGAAATAAAAAAAAAAAAAAAAGTGTGAGACAATTCTACAAAACAATGGAAACCACGAAAAGGAGAGTTTGTTCACACGCAGACCTACTTTAACTGAGGAAAAGGCCCAGGGGGGTCGTCTCAGCCACCATTTGAACTGCCCACAGAAAGACTACTTTGGTTTTCTTAATTAGATATTTCATATAATTTAAAGGACTAAAAGAAAAATATGGAATGTTCTGTCATAGCAATAGGAGCCTAGCACTTGGATTTCTCTTAACCCACCTGTGTGTGACAAGTGTCAATTTCACCTTAACTGTTCAGTAATAGGACAAATTTCCTCATGATGGTGATTAATGTCTTACTGCTGTCTGATTCGATTGTTCCTCAGTAGTTCAGCACTTTTGCCAAACGCAGATAGCACAGTAAAGAGAGAGAAAATGTTCATTTGACAATCATAATTAATAATAATGACTTTTATTATTGCTAATAAACTATCTTTAGTATTTTAGATTTAACACCCTCATTACTAAGTGGCCCTGAGAGCAAGCTTCACTGTCAATTAAGAATTTTCAAAAAAACATCAAAAAATAAAACGTTATACTAGATATAAAATGCCAAAACTGTGTAACTTGTGTGGTCAATACAGTATGTCAAACACAGCAATAAATTCAAGACAGAAAAGAACAGGAGAGAATTTGGGGTTTGGCTATTACGGAGAGATTGCTGGAGAGCCATTTCGATGCGGTGCTGAGTGCCACTTGGGTAGTAACTGATACTAATTTTTGGTTAACAGCTTCTAACGTTTTATCAAATATTTCTAGCTATCTGCAGAGTTGTAGGCTATACAGATGATTTATACCTTATCTTATAAGCAAGGAAATCTAGTCACTGATGAAATTCAGGTGAAAATTCTTCTTAACATTTTAGAAAGTAAGAAAAATCGAAGTGTCACATAGTCTCCATAGCTCACGTTTCTCATGCGTCCTGATCTCAATTTGTTTCTTGCTTCCCCAGCGTCATGGTACCATTTCTTATCCTCTCTTCATTCTTTGTGTGAATGCTAATTGAGCATGTACTTCATACCATGCACTCTTCCATATATTCCGGACATGGAAATTAGTGAGATTCAATATTTTCTCCTAATGAACTTTAAACAACAGATGGTTAACTACAATAATATATAATGACATACAGCACATTCCAGGTGCTACATTGGAGTTTAGAGCCAGGTGTTGTGAAGACACAGAGAAACGTTAAGTAGTCTGGAGCAGGCAATGGGATCATCAGAAAAGACTTCACAGAGAAGTCTTTTGATCGGTCTTTGGAAGGCGGATAATGGTTTCTTTAGAGTGAGAAGCTGAGGGAAAGGCAATCTATTCATTGAGGTTTTGAACTGTTTACTACAGATGAAAGAAAACTTGTGACGGGTGAGCAAAGCCTCAGTGACATAAAAGTGCATGGCTTATTCGAGAAACTCTGAGCAGTCAAATATTATTGAAACATAAGATTTGTAACAGAAATGGACTTAGCAAGATATTCACCTAATAAATATTTATTAAGTACATATTATGGGCAAGAGACCAAGCTAGAAATAACGCTATGTATTTTATTGTATACAACACATCCAATTACCCTAACAAAGTGGATGTTATTCTCCAAGTAGGTATCAGGAAATAAATGAGGTGTAAGTAAGGGAAACTTGGTCAGACCTGTGAATCCAGCTGTTCCTCTAAACATACCCTACTAAAAACCCAAGTGAATTCAATTCTGAAAGGGACCAAGCATCCTATTAAAAAGTCTATAACTTTATCCTGAGAGTCTTAATGAGTTAAGATAGGTGTTTTAAGTCAAGGTATATCATAAGGGCATTTAGCAGCAAATATGGCAAAGTGGTTAAGGGATCAGGCATCACCACTATAAGCTGTGTGTGATTTGGCAAATTAATGTCTCAGGGTCACAGTGTTTTTTCTTATAAAATGGGGATGATGAGAGTACATATTTTATGAGATTGCTGTACTCATCATTTAATATATGAAATTTATTTAGAGTGATGCTTGGCTTCAATAAGTCATCAGCATATGGGGTTCTTGTTTCAGAAACAGCTTTCTGATGGCACTGTGAGGAAAGGATAGCAGAGGCAGGAAAACTCCAATCCTCAATATTCCAGAAGAAGAACAAAGAGGGCTTCGACTATAGCATTTGGCAGCTACGGAAAAGTAAAGGTAACACTGGGAGATATTTCAGGTGTAAATATTGAAAAAAGTTTGTGACCAACTGGTTTGGGGAGAAGAGGAAGGAAAACCCAAAACAGAAAACAACCCCAAGGCCTCTAGTTTATATGGCCAGATGAATGCTGATGTCTTAACATTTCATAGTCCAACTGCTACTTCCCTGTGAATTAATTATGCTAGGACTCTCCTGGCTGCTGAGTGCCCATAATTGATTTAGTGACTATTTATAGTGAAAAAATAAAAATAAAAACAATGTTGAAAGCCAATAGAGGCCAGAGAAGTCAGTTCCTCCCACTAAGGCTAGCCTGTCCCTATCACCCTGAACTGACCCTGTTCTCAAGTCCCTTGGGTGTGAAAATAACTGAGCAGTTATCTCTGAAGCTGGCGGACAACACGGCTTCTAAGTTTTAGGACCAGAGCTGCATAGAGGTACAGTGCTGGTAGGTGGTAAAAAGGGGACTGATGAATGTAGCCCAACTACCATTTGGGGACATTTTGTTTTCACTTGGGACAACAGTGAAATCAAGTTTTCAAATTGTGAGGAGGAATGTTTCTCGAGAATTCTTAATTTCTTAATCAATACACTGATCGTATTTAAGTTCTATACAATATCCAGGGTCCATGAGATGTCACAAACTTTAGGTATATGAAAGAAAATACATTTAAGGTTACTGTTGGGTAAAACATGAGAGTGTATAAACAGAAAGTTAAAACAAACACCAAAATAAATTCTAGGCAAGACACTCCCTGAAAATTTGTCTTATCACTTGAATTACACATACACAGAATATATTTCCATTCTTCTATAAAAGCTACCGTCTGTATCTCTACTACACAATTCGGGAATTATGAAAGCTGAATATTTTACACGTCATACAACACAGAAGACTGTGATAACATTTATTTTTGAGCTATTAAGGCTTTAACTGAACTACATTGTTTCTTTAATAAGTTAGTATTGCATATAAATGACAAAAGGAGACAGGAAATACACAAAAACAAGTTTATTTTACAGTGGGGGGATAGAGGAAGAGTGGTAATTAACCCTAAATTCTGTTCTCCATTTATATAAAAGCTTCTTCATTTCATGGTCTATACACTCTTTTTTCTTTCAAAACAACTTCACAAAAACATCTTGGGGTTTCGAAGATAGAAGGGAATGTTAGTCACTCCATAATGCAAATATCCTGAAAGCAGAAATGAACTTGTGTCCTCTTTCGCATCTCCTCCTATTGTTCCTCTAGCGCCTAAAACACTACCTTCAAGAGAGGTGGTGGCACTCAGCACACATCTTCACATTTCCTCCCAACAATGAAACACTTTCTATAAGGTCTTTCCAAATAACCCTCAGAGATGGTAGATTTAATGTTATCAAACCAAAACCTCTTTTGAGTCTAGGTGAATCAAACACTGCCTCTGGAACTTTGTCCCAACATGACTGGTGCCCTGTCTGGATCACGAAAAGACTTCCCTCAGCCTCTTCTCATCCTTTAGTTCTTTGACGGCAAGGCAAAGATAGGCACATTTCTGGCTTGTTAACGAAACTGCCATTGTACCATGTCTGAGAGCATAAAGGCAAAAAGACAGGAATGCTCCAACCTCTAAAAATGAAGCATTGTATGCCCTGTTTTCCGACTGAGTTAAGACATGCATTTATTTATTTACTTTGGAGAAACAGACTTTGATTTTCCAAATGTTTAGACTTGCTGGATAATTTAAGGTAAAAATCACATGTCTGTGTATGCCTGAAGTGGACAAGCACATCAACTGCTAGTTCTCTTTGTAGTGGAGAACTACAAAACCTGATAGCTACAGGTAGCGGAGAACTACAAAACCTACACACTCCAAACCTGATGAGCGATAAATTAAAAGAGGACCAACTTTTCTGTTTCCTTGCTATTAACATCACCTCCAAACTATGATCTAGTTAGTAACTGAAGCATTTGTTATTCCTCAATCTAAGTTTAAAAACTGTTTGTTTGTTTGTTTGTCTGTTTGTTTGTTTGTTTTTTCCTAAGTAAGCTCTACTTCCTACGCAGGGCTTGAACTCAAGACCCCAAGCCAAGAGCCGCATGCTCTACTGACTGAGCCAGCCAGGCACCCCTAAAAAGTTGTTTTAAAAGTGAATGCATTACCCTATTAAAATACATGCCCATCCTTGTATAAGCCTCGGCGTAATTATAGTTTTGTATAATTAGAGCTTTATGTCAAAAGATTTACAGCTTTATCACCTCAAGCAATATTTCACAGCTGCCAAGAATGATTTATGCAATAATGACTTAAACTGTAAAATAGAATCCTCAAAGGAAGGGCTGTCAAATATGCCTACTGCAAATAACTAGGTTTTTAAAAATTGATATTCTGGTAAACAGCAAGTTCAACGGTACCTGGTAAAATCACATAAAGTAGCATGGAAGGAAGTGTGGCTTCATGAGGGGGATCATGCAGCTGATCACACACTACATGTATGTGAACTCATGGCGTAGATCATGGGTTCAAACTGTGTAGAACACCTCTGGCCAGTTTGGAAAACAAGCGTTCAGAAGTAAAACCAAGCTTATGGTTTTGCTGCTCTAGTATGAGTGACTGGAAAAAGTGGAAACAGAATATCTCAACTTTTTGTTACTTTGCTCACTGTGCTTAGTACATTCCTATCCATATTCCTGTAAAGTGCTAAATAGAGAATAAGTAAAGGAAGCATTTACTGTATATACCTAAGAAACCAAGAAACTCCCCAAAGTAAATTAGCTCAATAATAAAGAAGTAAGGAAACTGAAAAACAAACCAATACAAAATGTTGGTGATTTTATCCCTTCCTGATTTTATAAATGTAGGGTGCCAGGCAGGTCTCTAAGGGCAAGTCTTTCAAAGCATTTGAACTTCACAAGCTCTGACTGAATTTGCAGTTGCCATGTGAATAAAACCAATGTACTTTGAAGATTCTATTCAAGCTATCTGAACTAGTCTCAAAAACACAGGTTGATTACATTGAGAGCAAATTGGGCTGTGTCTTAACAATCCAAAAATATAATAAAATTAATCTTTTTCTTTGGAAAAAGAAAAAGAAAAAGCTTGGCCCATTATCTCACATATCTCATATCAATAAAAGTAAAATAGGCAGCATTTGGCATTAGCTCTAAAGATTATCAAGTCTTTGTAAACTGACTCAAATCTGAAAATGAAGCCAACAGAATCAAAATCATCACCAAAGGTTAATATTTATATAGTTAAACAAGCTTCTAAGTAAAGATTCCTTTTTTAAAATGAGAAGGTTTTAATTCATATAACCAAGTGCATCACTCAGATGGAGATTTGCATTAGTCAATGTACCAGGAGCATCTTCGCTGTAGAAACTTTTACATTCATGTTTGTGATCCCACCTTAAGTTGCCTTTATTGGGTATTCTGAGATAACTTCATGTGCTCACATTATACAAGTTACACAAGGTTTTGAAATATCACCATTCCGCGTGCCATATAATAAATAACAACTTTCATTTCAAAATACTTTCTGAAAAATATAGTGAGTATCTAAGTGATCCTGACAGTCCAGATTCATTTTATACTTAAATTCTTCAAGTTTAAAAAAAAAATACTGAAATATCCCAGAAAACATAATGATCAAATGTGGACCAGCATGCCCTGCATAATCACAATATAGATTGTGTCAATATCATGATAAATATTCAGATGGGGAAAAATGTCAGACAATTAAATTACTCCAAAAGCCCAAATTGTTGGCATCAGCTACACACACAAAAAAGATGGGTTGCATTTGGATAGTGAGAGCCTTAGTCCAAGAAATGCTTTCAAGACAACAGAGCAATTAGGCTATTTCTAGCATGCCAACACTACTGATTGAAAAGGGGGGGGGGGGAGGGATGAGAAGTTTAAAAGCAATTTCTATGTTGGTTGATAATCATATAATTGTTTTCATTGCAGATTGATCCAAATTTATACAAACCTGTTTTTCTAATCATAGTTTGTCACATATACTCACATAAGTTGATGTTAAGGAAAAACCAGTAATTAAGAACTACATTTTCTATCATAAAATATTTAACTGTAAGAAAATAAGAGGAAGGGTTAAACCTTTTCCCTGCTAGAATTTCTGCTGTGTATTTCATCAAATGATGAATCATTATATGATATAGGTTATAACAGATCATTTTCTCATTTGTAAAACTTAAGAGTTACCTAAAAATCTGACTATATACCCGTCTGCCTCAATGATTTCTGCCAATGGAAAAAAAATGGTAATGCAATATCAACAATACCAACCACAGCATGCATTTTAAGTGATTTACATTTAAGCACTAAATTGTCAAATATCACTGTGTATATTTGAGAATGTATATTCTTTTAAATGGGTATATATGAATATTCATACATGTGAGTTCATATGCTATATATGGTATGTTTAATGAATGCATGTCTATTAAATGGACATTTGGGAGGAACTATTATAGGTCTATTATATTATACTCCCATAGCAAGCCTGAAAGAAGGAGGGGTGCCCTTGAAGTTGAGGTATGACCTTAAGTTTGAGATGCCAGTTTTGTTGCAGCTATAAAAATGATTACTGACAACTCCACAGTATCATAGCTCCCTTTGCCCATTTCTTATTTTAGGACAAATCTTTAACAGCCTTTATTATTTGAATATACATAGGTGTACTGGACCAATTCTTCACGTTCTTACATATCACCTTAATGTTACATGAAAAGGAGCAAAAGAAACAAGGGGTGTTGACTATCAAATAAAGCTGAAGAGCCAAGAAACATTTATAACTGCAGTAGTTTTACTTGAAGATACATAGTTTTCTATAAGATGTTGCTTTGTGAAATATTTTCAGGTTCAAGCAAATAAAATTCTGTATGTGTCTCCTTGGAAACATGTATCAACACAATCAGTAAATTATTGGCCTTTATATTATTCCCTAGAAAGGGGAGAGAGTAAGACTGATTTGTGGTACTTTGTCCTAGTGATAGTAAGTCATTGCACTTTTGAAGAGTACAGAGTACCCTTACTCAAAGAAGAAATTGTCCTTACTAGTCCACTAGTGAAAGCATCCAGATTTCCTGAATCCTAAAATGCTAGAAGCAAAAGATATCTACAACTGAATATTTGGAGCTTCTCTGCATATGAACTTTCAATAATCAGTTGTCAAAATTTCATTTCACTGCAATCAAGTAAAAATAATTCTAAATAGATGAACTTTACCATTTTTGTGATAGTAGGTGACCTCCACTTTCCTCTCCTCTGACCCCAGCAATGCCTGGGCAATTTGGGCAATATCATGTCTCTTGGTCTCAGGCCCATGGAGAAAGTCACAGGTGCACGGCTTTTGCATGACATCTGGCCTGGAGAAACCAGTCATCTCACAGAACCCATCGTTGCAGTAGATGATGGCACAGTTTTGCACTCTGGCATTTGCAATGATAAATTTTTTATCTGCAATAAGAAGATAGTGAGACATCTTTTAAAAAGCTTCCACAAGATTTCCATAAACACTGGAGCAAATTGTTGCATAACAGGAGATCTGAAAAGCAGGTGCTTCCCAAATTTCTAACTGCCCAGGGTTTTAAAAGAAAAAAAAAATCCTAAATGTGAAATTAACAGTCCCAAGTAGTTTTAACAAAAAGTATTAAGGAACTACTCTTCAAATTTCAAGAATGTAATTTCTCAAATAGTCTAGTTCTCAAGCCTTGTAACTCCCGGGGGTCCTAATGCACACTCAACAAGCAGCTGGCCCATTGATTATTTCCAGAATACCATTTAATTGTAAGATAAATATTTTCAAAGCCCAAACAATGAAACACCTTGTAACTGTCAGATTTCTCACCTCAGCTTTGGCCCTGAAGAGTACAACTTTCTCAAAGTAGTTATTATTTTTTGGATTTGTCTTTTCTCTATCCCTCTAAGGCATGCTACACACTCATCATGTTAAAAAAAAAAAAACGTGAAACTATTAGCAATAAAACTATTTTGTGTTAATAGTTTAATAATTTGAAGAGTCACCTTTCATAATATATATTTCTAGGAGATAAAAAAAAATTACACATACACAGTAAATGTCACATTAGCACCTTTTCACTTTTACTTGGGGAGAGCCTTGAAATTGTGTGCAGTAGTAGGGATTTCAATACAAAGGGCTCATTAAGTTTCAATCATAAATTGTATTTACTATTTCCAGGTAAGATGGGAACAGGATATACTAGTATATTTTGTACACAAGGTACTATATCCTCATGTCACTAAATGCAGTGCCAATACCTGCAAAATGTATAACATAATTGTGTGCTAATGTAGTTTTAAGGAAATGTGGAATATGAATTAACAAGCATAGGATTTAAAATTAATATGTTTATATAACAATAATTCATTCCTTACAGATAGTCCACAGGAGAATGTTAAATGTATCTGCATTCAGTTGTGGGATTTACTTATTACATTTCAAGTTTCACATTTCGTAACGGAAATTTAAGGAAATGATAAAGGGGCATAAATGTTGTTTTGAATAATCAACCGTTTGCATTGGGAACCAGCACGGATCAGATATTGCTTTTCCCAAATTATCCTTCTTGGGATATATTTGCGTTGATTCAATGCAAAGTTTAGCTTCTATAAACTAAAAGCAAGCAAGCATCCCTGTCATACCACAGCTTAGCAATTTAACCCAGGTAAAATATAGTTTGCATAGCCGTTTACATCGCTGCTACCATTTACATTTTCTGGTTCCAGTGGTATGCTCTGCTCTACTCCTGACTTTCAAAAAGTCTACAATTAAACAGCCTCAAAATGTAAACCCATGTTATACTAGTACGTTCCCTTTAAGATAGTAGAAGAGTAGGACATTAAGTAGCAAGGCAGATAATGGAGCAGTGGGAGAGGAGGATCAAATTGCCTCCTACAATGGAGACCATAATCTAAAATGTAAATCAGAATTAATATCTGGGGGAGAACACTCCCGGTGCCATTCGAACCTCCTGGCTCGGTTTCACAGCCTGTTAACTTGAAAGAGCCCGGAGTTGCCGGCTCCTCAGCCTGAACGCGGCGAACGCCAAGTGCACCGTCAAAGCAGAAAGCGAGGGAGAGATAAGAGAACAAATGAACTTACTTTGCCCTTCAAATTTCCGTATGATGGTCCCCAAAAATGTGTTTTGTGGTGCCACATGCCCCCTGCGAACAGGCATGTTGACCCCGGTCCTCCGAGGAGCGCTCCCCCCGAGCTCTGGAGTTCTCCCGGGATCTCTCCTCGGCTAGAGCCCAGGCCAGCGCGCGAGCCGCTCTTTGTGGCAGAGCATCCTCTTTTGAAACCAGAAATCTCTTCCCATTAGCACCACTTCTAGACACCCGCTTTCCCTAGCGGAGTCCAATCCATCCCCTTCACCTTCCGGAGGGGGCCTCGCACCGGACTGCCGCGGGTGAGAGGGTTTGGGGGTGGGGAGAGGGAAGGAGGCGGGGTGAGGGGGGTGGCGGGGGAGGGAGGGAGGGAGGGAGCGGTGGGGGTGGGGTGGGGTGGGAGGGGGGCGGGGAGTCACAAGGGCAATCGATCTGTTTCTCTTCTCCCAAACAGCGCCAATTTCCCAGTGCAAATGGGCTTAACCTGGCGGTTGCCCAGAGCTGTGAGGATGGCTGGGGGGGGGGGGGGGGGGGGGGGAGGAGGGGGATGGAAGACTCGTGCGGCTTTTGCAGGAAGACGAGAAAGAAAAGGAGGCTGGGGGGTTGGGGGGAGTTGACGTTTCTATCCCCGCCCTCTCCCCTACACACACACACACACACACACACACACACACACACCCTTTATCCCGAGAGCTTGGGCGCCGCCACAGCTCGGATTACTCAAGCGTGCTTTAGCGGAAGCCAGCCAAGAAATCTCCAAAACTCAGTGACAAACAGCTACTCTGGGAAGGTGATCTCCACGGCCACCAGCCACAGGGCTCCATCCCTGAGCTCCTCACGCCGCAGTAGCTAAAACACCCTTAGCTGCAAAGAAAAGACAGGTGTGAAAACAGTCCCTCAGTGAGGACTATTTCTAAGCTCTGGTGGCGTTCAGGAGTTTGAAGACTGAGGATGAGCCACTTAAGGGTTCAGGTTTAGTTCGGATCCCCAGGACTCCGCGGAGGTGGGTGCTGAAGCCCTAGCTGAATTGGCACTCCTGTCCCTGCCTTGAGCTGAGCCGAGTCTCCCAAAGACTAAAGGCTGCTGGTACCGCCGCTGAGCATGCCCGGTTTCACTGCTTGAACCCGTGAGGAGTTGCAACGTTGGGGGCTGATTGGGACTCTTGGTGCTAGAGGCTGGAAGAAAGATGGGAAGGCCAAAGACTAGCAACTGGTACAAAACAAGGGAAGTGTTTGAAATGGGCGAGGCTGTGCTCCAGGGGAAAGGAACAAAAGGTGGGTGGGGCAAAGAGTTACCAGCCTTGGTGTGACCTCCAATGCTACTCATCTCCTGAACACACTAGGCACACCATTCTACTCTCTTCCACTATTTCTAAGAAATTATCTCATTTAGGATGGGAAAGGGTTCAAGGAGCAGAATAGAGTCCTCTTCGTTCTTGCTCTAGAGCCTGCCAAGGCGGGAATCTCCTGCTACATATACACATCTTTCTAAACAGACCTCCTGGAGACTTAGGAAATCAAATGTGACAAGTCATGCCAGGGGACGGTATTTTCTAAGTTGTTTTTCTAGTTTTTCTCGTTTCTTTTCCCTTCATTTATGTTATCTCCTCCTTTAACCTAATAGTCAGCCTCTATCCACGCCCCTTTCTCTAAATGGAATTTGCCAAGCTACAACCTACAAAACTACCACAACACAGACGGACAAACCTCTTGTTTCCAGCTGGTGACAAAAGTCCTAAGTCCTCTATCGAAACATGTAGCTGTTTAATAGTGTTGGGGGTTCTTGCAACTCATTAGCCTGATTTGCCTGTGCCTTGAATCAGTCAGGTTCAGATTTTCTCAGTTACAAACTAAAATCTAAAGTAAAAACAATGAGACTGGAACAGAGAAGGGCCAAGAGGGAGGTTTAGATTAGGAAAGTGAAAAAGTGGACTACAATAAATAATGAGGAAATAAACATATTGACTTTAACTTTATGTTGCAGAAAATACAAGCCAAGAAAAAAAGAAACCCTCCCAAATAACCCCCCAAAACCTAAGCAATTCTTCCCCTTTCATGTCAGAGTAATGAAAATGAATTAGAAATGCAAGACATTGCCTGGGAATGTTGAATTTTCAGGTTAATTAGCTTTACTTAAAAAAAGAAACAATCTATGACAACCCTTAGGCTCTTATGGTAGCTTGAGCTTTTCTGAATCTGTACAGTTCCCTCTCTCGGAGCATAAAAAGACACGCTCCTCCAATGTACAGCTTTATTTTCTCCCCTTCTGCAGTATAAAGTAGATCACTCTATCATTCTATTCCCTAGCTGCAGCTGGGCTCATGAAACGTCGGAGTTCCTCTCCCAGGTGTTAAACGTGTGGAGCTATCCGTGGTGCTGACTCTGACTCTGCCGTTAGTAACTGCTCTCCGCCTACATCCAGCCCCAGACAATAGAACTGCAAACTCGGCAAGTGGGCCCGAATATATCCACATACACATGTCCTCACTAGATACCCACAGAAACGGTGCTATTTGCACCCCCATCTTATTTTTCTACTTATCTTGTTAGCTAAATCCAAGCTCAAATGCATTCTCCCCAAAATGCACCAAGAACTCCACAGAAAACAGAAAAACTTAACATTGTGCAGATTGTAATTAAGGTTTCATGTACAC